ATATGCAAATGTAATTCGTTATCATTCTTGGGTTGAACAATATATATATATTAGATACATTATCATATTCATCATGTTGTCGATTTATTAATACCAATGAATTAATTGCCTCATATTTCGATTACCATACTACGTAATTTTGTTAATTTTATTTGTTCACGCATTTCTATATATTGATTTTTCCTGATTAATAATTATCCAATGTGTATTAATTTTTCCAAAGATAAAAAAATTTACGATATTCAATGTAATTAAAAGTAAATTTATACGTGACAATTTCTTTATAAAAAGGGCTTTCAATTACTTTTTATCAACATTATTTTTTATATCTCTGTTAAAAAATAATACAATGAACTATTCAAATTATTTCCCTGGTAGTAAAGAGGAATTAGAAGCCTTAATAGAGCGCAATATAACCGAGTCTATGATCATAAATTATAAAGGCAGCTTATTCTTCGTTACAGAGTATTTCCCTTCCCTGCCTCCCGTCCCAATTCAATTCAAAGACCTGGCATTTTATATTGAAAATAATCCATCAAAACCTTTTATGTTGTTTCGTAGTATCTTTAATGAAGAGTATGGGAAGCATTCCAGAAAAGTTGTTTTGGAAGAAGTGAGCGGTTTAGCTTCTAGATCGTGGAGAAAACTATCTCCAAATGATAAGAAAATATTTAAAGATTTTTCAGAAAAAATAAATAAAAATAGAATTGTCGTTGTTAGTAACATAAGATTCTATTCTCCCAACACTGGTGGTAATTCACAATTACTTTTTTTTTTTTTTTGAAATATTATTATCATAATTTTGTTTTTAATTAAAAAAAATTTTTTTTTTAGTACAAGTAAGCGAACGCACTGAAGAAGATATCATCTTAAAAGTTTCGGAAGAGGTTGAACAAGATATCATCTCTGAACTTTTTCCATATCATTAAAATCGTTGTGTATTTTCTTTTTCATTTTCACTTTTTATTTATTTTTTTTATTTTATTTTATATTGTTTTTTTTGTTGTTGTTATATATTTTATTTTATTATTTATTATTTATTTCGATTGAGCTTTTTCGATTTATTTATTTTTATTATTATTAATATTAATACTCGATTTTTTTTAATTTTTTCGATATCACATAAGGCAAACATGGTTACAAATTTTGAATATTAATTAAAAACGCTTTTTAATTCGTATAAATATGTTAGACTGCAAAAAATACTTTAATATTTACTTAATTTTAGAATGTTATAAACTTACAAAGTCAAAAAATAAATGCTGTTTCTGGCCAAAGTTTAAATAATCCACTTGCCGATTCTAATTGATATTTTGCATCCATATAAATTTTACATATGGCAATTAAGTTTCTTATACGACGGGATTGTCCTTATTAGGAGAGATTCGACTTTAATTTAAAATAACTTTACAACCAATTTTTTTCCAAATTTTTGGGTCTTGAGAGTTTTTGAGTACGTAAATATGTAAAACAAATGCCAATTCGTGTAATACCAAGTAGCAAATGTGTTAATTGCCAAAGCCAAAAAAATTTTTTATATTCATTTCATCTTGAATAAGTAAACATCACTGATTTAGACAACCCAATTTTCGTGTTACAATGTTATGATTTTTAAAGTACACATTAATATTTTTAAAAGGTCATATTTTTATTTTTTAAGATGTTCAATCGGTCGGGCATTTTTGGTATGTGTTTCATCGCTAACTATTTAGTTTGGCCTTTATCATTGACTTCTTTTTTTTATCAAGATTTTCTTTTTCCCTCAGCGCGGGGGAAAATCAACTGCAGATAATAGAGTAGTAGAATTCCAACAACATATACTACAAATTGACTTTAGAATATACGTTCTAAACACGTAAAAAGTAAAAGCAAAAATATAAAAAACTTACTAACCTCACTGTGAAAAAAGAAAATGATAAATAAACTATATATTTATAAATCAATTAACATGTATTTTGTTACTGTTTTTATTTTATTAAATTAGCAAGAACGTCTAAAGGTATTGTTCGTAAAGATTTTGACCCTTTGTAGTATGTGGTGAAGGAGATATTAGTAAAGAATTACAAAAGAGTGCTCTATACAAATGTTCAACCATTCAATATTTAAATGTTCAAATTGATGTTTAACTATGCAAAGAAGAAGCATTATAATGAATTAGTAATTATGAACGACCAGCCAAAACAAAAACAAATATTGATAAGTGCAAACCAACACAAACGCATCTATCTAAATAAAAAGGATTATCAAGATCTTTAGAAGCATATAATATTTAACTCTTCAAAATCAATGATTTAGAAACAGCATTGAATGCATATATGACGGAAACAGAAAACTCACATAATTATGTTAATATCAATATCTTTATATCATAATCGTTCCAAATCTGTTTGGGTTGGGATAGAACCCAAACAATTCATCAAAACTGTGATTGATTACCTGGCCGAGTTCTTTACCCAACCTGATTCAGAGCTCTAATAGGGACTAAATTTGTCTTTGCCACTTGTCAATGTTTTGTTAACCAAATTATCTGGAGTAAAAACTCCAATAAATGTTTTCTTTGCTATTATTCTCTACAAATGTTAGATTGATATAATTGTAAAAAAAAAAATTCACAACCAATGAAAATCGTAATAATATTAATATACAGTATATAAAAATGCAAGTAAAATTTATATTTTTTATTAATTTGTCATTTTTGATAAATCAAATAATCTTAGTAGTCTTCCTTCCAATAGTTATCTTTAAAATTAAAATTTCTATTATCAACTAATATTGATTTTAATTTTTTCGGAGATGT